TAATGGAGCCAAGCGCTCCACCGTTGCATTCGCCTGCTCCACGGCTAGGAGTCGCTCCGACAGATCCGGCGCACGACGCGTCTTCAAATCGTCAAGAGCGTCCGCACAGCGATACGCTCCTTCAGCATGACGCTCAGCGGAGCTCCGATCACGAAGGATTTGTCCTCAAGGGCTCGAAGAGCATCACGAGTCATCGGACGGCGGTCGACCCGGTCGTAACCGCCCGCCATCGACTCTTCTCGATGAAAACGGTGACGTTCACTATCACGTGGAACTTCTAGTAAGACGACGTCGCCACCAGGGTCAAATCCAATATCTGGTGAAGTGGCGGGGGCATCTCGACTCCAAAAATCGTGGAAGTTTGAGGCGCCACTTCGGCAAGATTGCTCAGACGCCGTGGACGCTTTTGATCAGAAAGATCAGGACGCCCCGTACTTCCCGGCAATAGCCAGGGAGGTACAAGGGTCATGAGCTGGGCTCAAGCAGCGGCCCTAAGCTCTTGCGGTCGCAGACACAAAGCTCGCGGGAGCGTTAAGAATTGACCTATACGTCGCAGGACGACAATCGGAAGGAAGTCGATGGCGTGCCTTGAGTTTGGCAAACTCAAATCGGAGGTGTCTCTCTACACGCACGTCCACTTCCTTGTGACTCAACAGTGAGGAAAGCTTCCGGAGCCGTTGCACCCATCGCTCAAAGAGCGCTTCGTCATCTGTACCGCTTTCGCCAGGGGCGAGCACTACAGATATTGTCCGCATTGATGGTACACGAGAGCCACCTCGTTGGGCACTCAGACGAGTGCGATAAGCTTCCACCAAAATTCTTGTGGAACCAAGAAACGAGCTCGTAGAGCTTTCCGTTTGGCAAGCTCATCTTCCTTTATGACTGGGGGCCGATGATGTGGATGCGTAACGATCGAGTTACCGCGTTCTTCGGTTCCACAGCGGGATTCGCTAGGCGAAAACCATACTACACACGAGGGTCAATGACTGGCCGTTGACGGGCGCGCATCAGAGCCGCCTTACGGGCAGCTTCCAGCTGCCGCCTCTGTGCCCCTTCGAGGTCATGGTGATTACACCACGTTTCTCGGTTGACGAAAAGTCAGGGAACGGACATGGATCCGCAAGGCGCGAGCAAGGCTCGTATCACGCCACTGGCGCAGCTTGCCTTTCTCGTCATCCCATGCGGGAAAAGGAGTATCAGACTCGTAGTCGATCACTTCCACATCCTCAACGAGGTCACTCGTCACTGATAGCGTGCGCGGAGCGCGACATTCGTGCTCATCGAGCCTAGGATGTACATTCTCGGTGCCGCGGACGCACTGTCCGACATTGCACCGCGTGCGGGAGACGAAGTTGGGC